CTGGGCCTGGCCGCACCAGACCCGGTTGCTCTGGGCCCCGCTGTCCCAGGCCCGGCCGCTCCGAGCCTGGCCGCTCCCGGCCTGGATGCTCCGGGCTTGGCTACTGCTGTTCTGGGCCTGGCTGCTCCCAACCCAGCTACTCTGGGCCCGGCTTCTCCAGGCCCGGCCACTCCGGGTCTGGGTGTTCCTGGACTGGCCACCCTGGGCTTGGCTGCCCCCACCTCAGGTCTGGCTGCCACTGCCCCAGGTCTGGCTGCTCCAGTGCTGGCTGTTGATGCTCTGGTTCTGGCTTCTGCTGCTCTGGGGCCTGGCTGTTGCTGCTCCAGGCCCTGCTGCCACTGCCTTGTGCCTAGCCACTCTAGGCCTGGCCGCTGCTGTTCCAACATTCTGTCCTTTTTTTTTTTAAACGCATTTATGTTGCAATGTTGGCTGGTGAGTTGAGTTCTGACTTAGTCTTTGATTTAAGAAATATATTTTTTAAAAATGAACTCTTATTCACATGGAGGAAGCCTAAAAGGCCATTAACAATTTTCCAAAGAACATGGCATTCATGAAAGAGAAAAATAAAAGAACAGAAGTATAAGGTTCTCCCTCCTCCCAACTGGTGGGCAGAGTTATGACATTACTGGCATCTGTCACAGAGACATCTCCAAGACATTGAGCCATCAATCAGTGCCTGCCAAAGTGTCCTGGAGCCCATCCCTTCCTGTTCTGCCCTGGGTCCAACCCTCTCCTGCTCCTCCCCTTAAAAAGACCCCCAGACCAGCCACATACTGCTGATCCTCCATGTCCAGGTGGCAGCCCAGCTGGGTCCATCCCCCGTCCCAACTCCTTCAATTCTGATTTCTCTACCTCCGTAATGAGTCCCGTTCATTACTGGGGAATAAACTTTACTTTAAAACTCCTTGGTGGTCAGTTTCCTGTGCCTCAAACCTTACAAAAAGGACAGTTGAAGTACTGAGGAAGAAATTGTTAAAAAATAATAATAATAATAATAATATGAAATGAGATGAAAAATAGCAAGTAAAGTTTTGGAACATATAACAAAGAACTGAAATGCATTAATATGTCACAATATATATTTATATACTGTATATGAGGCCCCTAGAATGATAAGAAATGCAAAAAAATTCAGTCAGGAACTCATGCTCTAATTGCCCCCCTTAAACATCTAATTGTTCCTCTGAGGGGCATGTGCCCCCCGTTGGGAACCACTGATCTAGAGGAAACAGACCAAGCGTGATCTCGGAAGGTGATTATTTCTCTGTCATTTTCTGGCTGATGCTGAATTGAGCACCTAATGTTAATAGAAATGAAGCAGGAAGGAGAATGCACTGGAACCATCTTCTTATTTTTAAAAAAATATATATTTTATTGATTTTTCACAGAGAGGAAGAGAGAGGGATAGAGAGTTAGAAATGTCCATGAAAGAGAATCATTTATCAGCTGCTTCTTGCACACCCCCTACTGGGGATGTGCCAGCAACCAAGGTACATGCCCTTGACCGGAATCAAACCCGGGACCTTTCAGTCCGCAGGCCGATTCTCTATCCACTGAGCCAAACTGGTGCCGGCTATTTTTTTTTAATTACAAAAATGCTTTATACTACCCTCCCAATAAAGAGGTGTTCTTAATCCCCCTCAGACTCCCTCCAATGGCCTTTCTCTTAAAAATGTTTTCATGTTTCTAGCATATTACTGCTCACAAATTCTCCAGAGAGTGAAATAGGAGGCTGTCTAGCTCATTCTAGTTGAGCATTATGTACTCAGAATCAGCACTTGAATTTTTAAAATCTGCTGTCTTGGGGCTCCATGTTCAAAGTAGCAGATACTGTTAACATAAGAAAATTTCAAACCTATAAAGAATTTTTGGGAGTTTATTTGAGTCAAACTGTCGACAATTGCCAGGAAGCAGACTCTCAATGTATTGAGACAATGCTCTGGAGTATGGTAGTTTTTTTTTGTTTTTTGGTGTGTTTTTTTTTTTTTTACCTATTTTTATAAAATTACCATCAAAGGAGGAGATGTGAGTTACAAGAAATCCATTGGTGACAGATTAGGGAGGAGGAAGAAAGCAAAGTGAGGAAACCTCTGAGATTGGATAAAAATTAAAATGATAGAACACATGCTTCTCTTACATTGGCGAATATAGGACAGTTAACAGTCAGCAATTACCAGATAACAATAACAATGAGGGAATCTGTGGTCTGAGATCTGGTGCCTTTAGTTGTATCCTGAGGGGTCTGGAAAAAATGAAGTTACTAGTTACCTGGACATTCCACAGGTATGTTATCTTAGATGCAAAAAGTCAATAGGCTCAGTAAAGATTGAAGTTGATCTTCGTTAGGGAAGATACTGGCCTAGGACCTGACTATCCATTATTAGCTGCTTTTTTAATTAAAATGTTTAAATTTCTGACCAACCATCCTTTGTAGTTCCTTTAGGTCTCTGAGTTTGCAAGACCACCACACAGGCCTTCCCTGAGTTAGTCAGGTTAGGATATGTCTCCTTTTCGTCCACAATACAAATGAGTGTAAAATACACCATTTTACTCAAGTCTGATCTTGGTATCCAGACATAATGCTTGTGACAGATCAATGCCATTTGGGAAACAGATTGAAACCAGGAGCTTACTGGGAACACTCATTAATCTAGCAGCAGCTCCATCAATTGTGAGGATATCCACCTCTGGGTCTTTCCGGGGAAATGTACAGAAAGAAATGAGGTCAAGCTGGGATTTTCAAACTCCGTTAGCAGCTCTAAATAAAGGCATATGGATTTTGCCTTTCAGTTGTGTAAAATATTTGCCAGGGGCTGAACTTCCTTATTAGATTAGCATCAAGGAGGATGACTAGTCTAGCTGGGGTAAGAAAGGGGTAAGGGGAGAGAAAAGGAAGAAAAGTGTGGCTTCCTGTGGTTTTATGAGGGTCACATCAGTCTTAGGAAGTAGGGACACTGGGAGCAACTAAATGTATGCAAATGCAATGCGACTTTTCAGAGAGGATTTGTTAAGTTACTTCATTAGCACCAAGGCCAAGGGCAGTCCAGAGCTCATGCAAGGCAGATCTGAGGGTTCCCTTTTGTTTGCGCCCAGGTCTTGGGGCAGTGGGAGCAAAGGGGTGAAAAAGCTGACAGTGTTGTCCTTGAAAGATCAGAACCTGTGAGCTCTCTCAAGCCCTCTTGACGTGAAAGCCAGCTTTTGTCTCCTGAAGGCTCCCTGAGAGTCCAAGTAATGAAGCCCTTGATTAGACCTCATTAAAAGTTCATTGACATTCACCAGGGCTGGAGCCCTGCCTGCAGCCCAGAGAGGTGGAGGGAGGATGCACCCAGCAGGGAAGCATAACATCTGTGTGTGAATGAATGCCCTTTCTGCCTCTTCACAGCATTGTTTGCCTGGGTGAATTTTGTAATCTCTTGTGACACCACTTTTCTCACCTCCAAAAAACTCCAATTTAATGCTGCAATGAGTGAGTATTTTGAAAGATTTAGTAAGTTAGTGTGTCCTCATTCTTACCACTCTCCCCTTTCCTTTCTTCTTCTGGTACAGCAGGCCCTTTAGGACTGCCAGGGACACTTCTGTCTTGCTTTGCAACACTGTGGAGCTTCCCGGTCAGGAAAGACCTGAGAAATAGAGTCAGGCTATTGGAGAACACAAGACCTTCTGGCCTCTGGCAAATATGATTGCAATTCACCTGGCCCCCAGCTTACAGCATCTGTGGGCTGTAGATCAGATACTATCCAAATGGTATTTACTTGTATAGATGACTAGAAGTCCAGTGCATGAAATTCGTGCAAGAGGCTTGGCCCTCACAGCCCCAGCTTCGTCCAGAAGGTCATCCGGATGGTCATTCTGAAATTCAATCTAATTAGCATATTAGCTCTTTATTATATAAGATAATGGTAATCAAGTCCCCCTTTTGCACCCCCTTTTGCCTCAGATCCAGGAACTAAGAACAGCAGCAAACCCCAGGGTGTGTTCCATAGAATACTCACTCTTCAGGATATTTGGTATTCTTGTAAGGGGGTGGAGGCAGGGAATTCTGGGCTCCTTTCCCTCAAGGAAGCTGCAAGGCCACCCTCATATCCATCAACCTCAGCCAATGTTTTGTTTTCTTTTGTTGTCTGGACTTAGGCCTGTTAAAAAGAGCAAAATTTAACTGAACAAGTTTTAAAGACCTTACTGATTTTATTCAATACTTTATGAATCAGATAGCATCCCATCTATAATAATAAAAAGGTAATATGGTAATTTCACCAGGTGTCATTCCAGATGTCCTTCCTCACAAAGCTGGGACCAGAGAGAAGCCAGCCCTGGTCCCAGGTCCAGGTGCCTGCAGGCAGCCTGAGGGAAGTCAGGCTAGTCCCAAGTACCATCCAGTGGTTGGAGGAGGGAAGCCCAGGTTTCAGGTGCCAGAGGAAAGCCAGTGCCAGCAGCCGGGGGGAAGGAAGGCCTACTCTTGCATGAATTTTCATGCATCGGGTCTCTAGTCTAAAGATAAGAGCTCTGAGGAGCTGTCCTATGTGAAAGACAGTTATGGGCAGAAGGGAACAGGACATGAAGTTATACTGGCAAAAAAATGTGGGTCTCTCAGGCAAGTGACCTCACTAGTCCTGGCCATGCTATTTCTGATCGACTTTCGGTTCCATTTCTGAGAGACCCCAAACTGTAATTTGGTCTTCATTTGTTGATAAGGGACTTAATACAAGTGACTCCATTTAGGGCTTGAAAGTGCCTCTTCTGCCCTGGCATCCCCCTTCAGCTCCGAGAATCTCCTCCTCTAAGATTCATCAAGAATTACCATTTTTCAATATCACCTCCAACCTCAAATAGCTTCTCATTCTTCCTTTCCTACGTATGTTTGATGGCTTTTCTATTGTAAGCAGAGAAAAGACTCATATTTCATTGCCAATCCTTCCACACTCCAGTATATAGTATACATTTCATGTCTGATTCCTCTACTCAGCCACGGTTCTAAGAAGTCAAAGCTTTGTTCTTTTTTACTGAAGAGCCATGGCTTTTAAATCTGCATTTGAGATATCTTTATAAAGGTTTTTCAGAGCTCAAAACCCAGTGCATTCTTTGTTCTCCCAGAATCCATATTTATAGAGTCCCATGGCTGTATGGCTGTTGGATGGTGATAGCAGTGGCAGTGTCTGCACTAAGAGGGATTGCAAAGTAAGTGGTATTGGCATTCTTAAAGGCCAATAAATTAACATGTTTATTTTTTTCTTTCCAAGTACAGAATAAATAAAAGACATAGGAATCAGATGAACATATGTATTAGCTTCATTACTGATTAAAAACAAACAAACAAAAAAAACACCAAAAACCTGAATTGGATGATGTGGACTAGATAACCAAATGAGCTTAATCACCTGAATTTAACAATTTTGCCCCCTGGTCATTGGCCTGGATGAAGCCTGGAGGTGGTCTCTGTGATATTATTCTGTGGAGAAGCTGAGGAGGCTTATATCTGAGCACAGCCTGGTTCCCAAGAGATCCGGCAGGCCCAGCATCCTCTTCAGCACTCACCATTCAAGTAAGTCATTTCTCCTTCCTCAATAAGAAGAGACTGAGAAGGGGATGAAGTTGTGGAAATGTTCCTTAAAACATAAAAAAATTGAAAAAACAGCCCATTAAATACCCAAGTATTATTTGTTATTTACCAAAACATTATTTAGTATCCTAATAAACTTCTGAATTTAATTTGCTAATATTCTATTTCAATATTTTTGCATCTGTATTCAGAGGTTAGATTGCTGTCTGCTTATATTCTTTGTGCAATCCTTTTCACGTTGTACCCAGACATTGTGGCACCATGGTGTACCTTATGCCCTCCATTTGCCCCTCCAGAGACACCTCCATCTTTCACCTTTTCTCTGCCCTCGAAGGCTGGCTACACAGACCGTACGACTTCTAGTTGGGTTTGGCCAACGAGGGACCCAGGAAGAAAATTGAAGGGTGGAAGGAAAATGAGGTGAGGGCATCCTTTCTCCCAGCTCTTTCCTGAACAGTTGAGGGAAGCTGTCTGGGACCCTCTAGAAAATATACCACTAGGTTCTGACAACTAGGCTTTCCCCTGCCCCTTCAAACCATGAGTTGGTAACAGGAGTGCAGCAACACCCTTCTCACACCTGTATTAAACACTTCAAGTTGCCTTACGTGAGAGTGACATCACTTATCTGCTGAGGAACTGGCTGATGTCTGTGGTTAATTTAATGTTGTAAAATGAACTGGAGAGTCTTCTGTTTTGATCTGTGCTCTGAAACACATTAGATGTAGCAAGAATTTTCTAGTCTTTGAAGGTCAGGGAACTAATTTTTAGTGCCCTCTTGGCCTAGTATTTGAGGGATGGCATATATTTTTTAACAAATGTTGAATTTTTTTCTCAAATTTATTACTTTATTTAGGATTTCTTCTTTTTTTGTCAAGTTTGATAATTAATATTTCCTAAAAAAAACATCTACTTCTTTCAGCTTAAATATATGAGCATGAAATTTTTACACCCGTCTTTACCTGTCTTAATATGCTCAGAACCTGTGGTCACCTTCCCTGTCTCACTCCTAATGTTTTTTCTTATTGTTTTGATTGTGTGTGTGTGGGGGGGGGGGTGTATGTTTTCTTATTTAAAAGTTAATTAATTTATTTTTAAAAATATTCTTTGCAGCTCACAAAATCGATGTAATCACTTACCAACAAGTTGGACTCTAGAGTTCGAAAGGCACCACCACAGAGAACTTGTGTACATGAGCCAGTTGACATGTGTGAGGATACTCAAAGCAGATCTGGTGAAAACTGGAAAAAACATAGGCCCAACAACTGCAATAAAACTGGCCAGAAGAATGGCTAATAAACTATGACACATTCACAACAGACTATTATTCAAATGCCAATGAATAAGATGCAGCTATTAAAATTTACCTCAAAGAATCTCAAAAACACAATGAAGAGCAAATTGCAGAAGACTTCTTACCATAGGGGTCTATGTTCACAATTGTGAAGGATATATACATATTTGATAAAACTGTTCAGATAAGCAAGAGAATAATAAGCAGAATTCAGGAAAAACAATTATTTGGAATAAATAATGGGGAAAATAATAGGAGAAAACGGAGCTTCTGGGTAATGTTCTATTTCTTAGCAAAGGATTTACAAGTGTGGTGTGTTTTTTTTCATAATTTTCATGATAACAAATATGCAATTCATGTACTTTTTATATTCACATAGTTCACTTAAAAATATAGTGATAAACTTTTATAACTGTTCCATGGCTATTTGTTGAATAGTCTCTGTTTGAAGTAGAGAAAGTTCTACATCTTATAATGTATCTCTGAAATTTTGGCTATCTGACTTATTTGCGGTTTTTAAACACTTACTCTAGGATTGTAAATTTCCCATTGTGCTTTTAACTATTCTTGCTTTATATATTTCATTGTGATGCCATTTGGCACATAACATTTTATCATGTCATTATCGTTATTGCTCAGTGATTCTTTTATAAACAACAAAAAGAAACACAACACTTCTTTTTCCTTTATTGCCCTTTGACCTGATTTTAACTCCATCTGATAGGAACATTCTTGCTCTGCTTTATTCTATTTACACGACCTCATCTCTTACTTTAATCTTTATGTGTCATTGTTTACTTTGCAGTTGTTTTCTTTTCCTTTAGTACGTAATGTTGTTTTTACAGATTATTTGGATGTTACACAAACTTTTATTATTCTGCTGGTAGTATTATAACTTCTAAGTAATTTTCTACGTATTACTTAATGTTATTCAAAATTTTAAAAGAATTTATTTTTTTGCTGTTTACTAACATTGAAATGGTTCATTCTTGAATAAGGTAAGAAATGCAATTTGTGTTTACTTTTCCCCTTCCCTCCAGATCCACATATCTCAGTATGTGATGATCCTAATGTTTTAGGTGATATTTTTTCTAGTAAATTTAATTTCTAAATTATGTAGCTTCTCATTGAAAACTTACTTTTCACACTTTTGCAGTTTTATAATAATTGGTTTACCTATTTTCCTGTTCTCATTTCATTTTTATTACTTCTCCCCCATTATAAAATTCCTTATTATTATTCACTATCCCACTGAGTTGTAAAAATAGTACTTGACAATCTTTTTAGAAAATGTATAGGAACAGTATTGTTGGTATGTATGTGACATTACATTGATGGGAATTATTTGGTTCATAAGCATTGTCCTTTAAAACTTTCTAAAACTTTTAATGTTGCTGAGAAGGTTGATGACACACATACTTTTTCCTTCAGAATTAATGAGAACTTTTTTTTTAGAAAAATTCATATAGGCTATTTTCTAAACTTCAAAATTAAAAATTTCAACAGGATATATCTATATATTGGTCCTTTTTTTGACAATTCTGTCTGCTACATTGGAGGTTGTATCCCAGGCCCATCTGTAAAAACAAGTTGATGTCTCTACGCTCAACAGGAGGAGTGATGCTGTGCTCATGGACATGCTCACACGTGGTTTGAATTGGTAGCTGTTGCTGACTCCACAGATTCATTCTGGTGAGGTAGCTGATTATTAAGGGTTGAATTGTGTTACACCCCAAAATTCACTCATTGAAGCCCTAACTCTCAGTCCTTCAGAATGAGACTACATTTAAAAATAAGGCCTTTAAAAGAATGATTAAGTTAAAATGAGGGAATTAGGCTGAGTCCTAATCCAATATCACTGATGTTTTTATAAGTACACACAAAAGACCATGAAGACAGCCACCTACAAGCCAAGGAGAGAAGCCTCAGAAGAAACAAACCCTGCTAATACCTTGATCTTGTACATCCAGACCCAAAAATGCAAGAAATAAATTTCTGTTGTTTAGTCCACCCAGTTTGAAATATTTTATTATAGTAGCCCTAGGAAACTAATGTATTGATATTGTCCAATATTTTTGTGGCCTGCTAGAACTTGCTAAAATGGTTGTAGTTGTTTGAAACCAAGAACACTGATTCCACACATATTATGTAACTAGAGGCCCAGTGCACAAATGTGTGCACTGGTGGGATCCCTCAGCCTAGCCTGCCTCTTGCAATCTGAGATCCTTCAGGAGATGTCAGACTGCTGGTTTCAGCCCTAGGGCTGGCCTGCATGGATCGGGCTGAAACCAGCAGTTCAATATCCCTTGAGGGATGTAGTAGTAGGGCTGGGCATTGCGCCACTCCCACTTGATAGAGGTGGGAGAGGTTTGCACCACTTCAGCTGCCCTTGACAGCCCTGAGCCCAGCTTCTGGTGCCCATCTGGTGCTGAGTGGCACTCCCACTGTGAGAGCATACTGACCACCATGGGGCAGCTCTTGTGTTGAGCGTCTGTCCCCTGGTGGTCAGTGCATATCATAGCAATCAGTCAACTGGTCATTTGGTTGTTCAGTGTTTGGTTGCGGGGCTTTTATATATATAGGTTGTAAAAATGGTATCCCTTTCTGATATGGCTGAGTGATTTTTTAAAATATATATTTTGTATTGATTTTAAATAGAAAGGGAGGGGGAGATATAGAAACATCAATGATGAGAGAGAATCATTGGTTGGCTGCCTCTTATACATCCCCTACTGGGATCCAGCCCACAACCCAGGCATGTGCTCTGACCAGGAATTGAACAATGACCTGGTTCATAGGTCAACTGGGCCATGACAGCTGGATGCTGAATAATTTTTTTATTAGACCAATCCTCCTGTTGATTACATACATAAATTCTGGACAAAATTTTAAAAATAAATATTTTAAAACATATTTTAAGGCACTGGAGAGAGACTAAAAGTAGGCCTCTTCTGGATTTGACAAATCGGAATAACACTGGCTGTTTCCCATTTTTAAAATGTTTAGTCTGAAAACAGGCCCCAACTTCACCATGTGGAGATGGCCAAAGCTTTAATGAAAAACCTGCCTCAAAAGTGAAAAGAGTTTGGTGGAAAGAGCTGGAAGAGTTTGAGGAAACCACAACCACTAGAAAGTTAGGAAGGAACTTTAGGAAGGGCAGAGTCAGAGGAGAGAGAGCCACAAATTCTGTGTATATACTTGGATTAAATTTCAGGCTAATTTCTGAACCACACATGAATGGACAGACCCCAACTAGCTTACCAAGAATAAAATAACCAAACTGAAATTTGAGCTATTGTCCAAGGGACACGATTTGTACTTTTAGTTCTACCAAATAAGTTGCTCACTAAAATGAGCAAACAGAAATCAATCCTCTTCAGAGAAATATAAAAAAATCCAGAGTTTTTACAATATAATACCTGTAATGTCCAGAATACATTTCAAAATATTTGACATAAATAAAGGAGTTATTCTTGAGACAAAACAATCAATAGATATTACTCCAAGATGACCTAGGTATATGAATTAGAATTTTAAAACCCCAGTATAACTATGCCCTTGGGAGTAAATGAAAATACACTTACAATGCATTTAGAGATAGTATTTTTTTTTAGCAGAAATATATTAACAGTAATAACAGAACCTAGTGGAAATTCTACAACTAAAAATATATTTAAGATAATTATATGGGCACATACATAAGGATACATGGAAGTCTGAAGTAAGAAAAGAAAATGAGCAATTGCTTCCATAAGAAAGTATTCTCTTTCAGTCTAGGTGGTGTGTAGCCCAGAACATGGGAGAGAACACCATGGCCCACGACCCCAAGAAGGATACCAGAGACTTCATGAGGAGATAAACAAAAGAGGTGGGATAGATCTACTGAATCCACAGGTGATAATTGCCACCAAAGTTAATTATTTTGCCAAATAAAGGTGTTTAAAGTTTGCTTTCTACCATCACCATCTTTTTACTTAAAAAAAGAAACATACAAGTGAGAAGCATATAATTTCAATTCTTCCCCCCAAAAGGTATAGTTGGAAGTCTTATATTAATATGTCAAAAGGGGGAGTGGTAGAGAGAAGAATATATCTAAAAAATACCAATGCAATAAAACTACAACTCCAAATGTCATTTGATGGTACTGTATCATATGCAAATTGTTTCCTGACACAAGCCTTTCCATTTGAAATCTGTATTTTACATTATGATGTGTTTTGTTACTTTATTTTTATTTTAATACAGTTAAAATGCAAAAATCACTTCATGCATTATTGGAGAGAGGATCCAAGATGGCTGCTCGGTTAGACACCTAACCGCAGCAGCACACAACAATTTCAATGGAATACAACTAAAATGTAGAGTGGACATCGCCCCAGAGCTACAGGTAGTAGACTGATTGAAAATTCTACAACAAGAAGGAAAGAGAAAACCAGAAGGAAAATCAGAGGAGCTGAAAAAAAGCCTAAGGTACAGAGACATCCTGCGCGCTCGCACGCGCGGAGAGGTCGCAGCTGGAGAGGAGGAGAGGGCTGGGTGCTGCCTGGCATTCCCTAGCAGAAGGAAATGGGACCCCCAGCCTGGGCTGGACCCCCAAACTGGCAGCGCTGAGCCCCAGTTATGAGCCGGACCCTGGGGACCCAGGCTCCGGTGGGGGAGACGGGGCTGTGAGGCGGAATCCCAAGCGAGCAGCGAAAAGCAGGGCCCCCGGAGTCGCGTGCACATTGCATGCAGAGGACTGAATGTTGACTCTGATACTGGATTACCCTAGTGGGAAGAAACAGGGCCTCTGGCTGCGCTGAGCCTCAGTCTGGACTGCTCTGAACCCCAGTCCTGGACCAGACCCTGGGGACCCAGGCTGGGGCGGGCGGGGGGGGGGGGGGGTGTTAGACGGGCTGTGAGGCAGAATCCCAGGGGAGTGGCGAGGGGCGGAGCCTCCAGAGTCCCGTGCACTGCACACAGAGGACAGTCTGTTGACTCTGATCCTAGACTCCCCTAGCGGGAAGGAGAAAAAAAAAAGCTCCAGACTGGAGGAATGCAACAGAGAGCAGGAGCCCCTGCCTGACACCAGCCAGCCAGGCGCCGGCAGGGAGCCTGTCAACGGGGCCCTCAGGGGGGGGGGTGCCCCTGAGCCATCGACCTCTGAGCGCGGGCAATGGAGCCAAGGACGGGGGCTGCTTCCTGGGCGGCGTCGACCCCGGCAACAGGCTGGAGCAGCGCGGGAGCCCGCGGAGAACAAAGGGGTGCCACAGGTCAACCTGCTGAGCTCCCAGGACAAGGAGGAAGAAACCAAAGTTCTCAATGCGAAGAAATCAAGTGAGAGCAAAAGATAGTAAAATTACTTAAGAAAGAATACAAAGAAGATCTTGAAAAATCAAAGACTAAGTCAGAACTCAACTCACCAGCCAACATTGCAACATAAATGCATTTTAAAAAAAAGGACAGAATGTTGGAACAGCGGCGGCCAGGCCTAGAGTGCCCAGGTACAAAGCAGTGGCAACCGGGCCCGGAGCAGCAACGGCCAGGCCTCAGAGCAGCAGCAGCCAGAACCAGAGCAACAACAGCCAGCAATGGAGCAGCCAGACCTGGGGCAGTGGCAGCCAGGCCTGAGGCGGAGGCAGCCAAGGCCAGGGTGGCCAGTCCAGGAACACTCAGACCCGGAGTGGCCGGGCCCAGAGAAGCCGGGCCCAGAACAGCAGTAGCCAAGCCCGGAGCATCTGGGCTGGGAGCGGCCAGACTTGGAGCTGCCGGGCCCGGGGCAGCCGGGCCCAGAGCAGCCGGGTCTGGTGTGGCCAGGCCTGGAGCAGCAGCTGCCAGGCCCGGAGCAGCGGCTGCCAGGCTGGGAGCGGCCAGTCCAGGAGCAGCCGGGTCGGGTGCGGCCAGGCCCGGAGCAGCAGCTG